GGGGTCGGGCGGGACGCGCTCGGGCCGGGGCCGGGGCCGGGCGCGCAGCCGTGGGCCCCTCCGCCCCTGGCTCCCGTCCTGACTGCGGAAGAAGGAAGTTCCCTGGAGTTGGGAGAGGGGCCGGCTCGGACGCTGCTGGCTTGGCCTTGCGGGGCTGGGGTCACTGCGCTGAGCATCTCGGCGGGGACCGCACCCGGCACCTTGCAGCAGTCAGCCCGGGCGGGCACCTGGGGTGTCCGGCATAGGAACTCGAGGAGGTGGCGCTGTCCCCGGAGTGCTGCGCGGCAGAGCTCGGATGTACAGGAGCAGGGTGGGGAGAGGGCTGAGGAGGTGGGGCTGGGAGGGCCTCGGACGGGAGGCTCTGGTACAGAGGGCGCTGCAGTTGCTCGGCCTGGGCCAGTGGTCCCTGGAGGTGGCAGAGATCGGGTCAGGGCCCAGAGCTGGCTTTGCATCGCCCGCCTGACCCAGGCGAGTTCTGCCTGCTGACCTGGCCGGGCTCTGTTCCTGCCCCTTCATCTCGCTGTGCAGTACCTGCAGTGAGGCAGCCTGGGGACGGCTTTCTCCTGAGCACTCACCAGCAGCTGCCTAGATGCCCCCAGCGCCCCCAGCCCAGCACGGGGCTGTGGGGCTGTCCCGGCCTCGTCTCACAGGGTCCATCCAGGTGGTCCCCAGGGAGCAGCCCCTTCGCCCGGCGGGGCTGCAGCATCTCTGGTTTCCTTGTCCGCGCAAAGCCATGCTTGCACCCCCTCTTGTCTATTGTTTAAGGTCTTTCGTTCGCTTTTTAAGTGTACTTGTTTATTTTATTGCCAGAGAACGTGTGTGCTTCCCAGAGGTCCTGGTCACAACTGCCATCCTTTCTCCATCCCATCAGGATCTGGGACATGCACACGTGACCAGCATGCTTTTAAAGCTGCCAGGGCTAGGATTTGAACCGTGACCAGCTGTGGGGGCCTGGTTCTCAAGGCATGGGACTTGCCTGCTGCACCGTGGGGCCAGCCCCAAAGTCTTCTGTCTTTATTTCTTAGCTTTTGCTATATTGCACGTGCACTTGATGGAGAGAGTCCGACATGGGGGGAGGGGAGGGACGAAATCACCCCCCAGAGGGGATGGCCAGGCCATAATCCCTTCTTCGTCCCTCTCTCAGGATTTGGGGCATGTACACACGTGTGCCCAGCAGGTTTCAGGCTACTGGGTCCAGGGCTTGAACCACGGGCAGCCATGTGGGAGCCCAGTGCCTTAACCACTAGGCCACTCGCTGGCCTGCCGCCTGCTGAGTGGTGGGTGCCGTCTAGTCCCTGGAGGTGGCAGGCCGCTCAGGGGCTCGCAGAGGCCTCGAGGGTCCCGACTTCCCCTCCAGGAGCTGTTCCTTTACCTGTAGGCGTCCCTGTGGTCGGGGAGTGGGGGGGCAGAGCCTCATGCAGGGGCTCATACCGCTGCTCCAGCGTCGAGTAGAAAGGGGATTGTAGGGAGGAGAAGAGGCTGCAGGGAGGGCTTCCAAGCTTGAGCCAGGGACGAGAGGGCCGGGTGGAGCCCCCTCTGAGCCCAGGAGGAGCTGCTGTCCGTCACACCTGGGGAACGGCACAGGAGCCACATCTGCGCAGTCCCCAGACCACTGAGCGCCTTCCAAAGCAGCTCCACCCACAGACAGCCACAACTCACCTGAGTGCACTGTCCCTGCTCCTGGCTGCTCGCACGGGTAGCCAGGGTAGGACTGACATTTTGGTGGTGCTCTGTGGTCCCTGGGCTCAGCTGGGAGAGCAGGTGCTTGCTGACTCGCACCTCTGCAAGGCAGCGCCGCCCCCAAGCCGCAGCCCTCGGCAGCTGCTCAGTGTTGGCTGGGGCGGCCGCAGGCAGGGGCTTCTGGGACAGAAGCAGCACTCTGGCCCCACTCCCCACTCAGGGGTGTGGTCGCCGCATCTGCCAGCCTTCCTCCCGCCCCGCGAGTCACTCCTGCAAAGAGGGCATGCCTCGCCTGTCATCTTCCCCTGGAGGCTTGCCCTTCCCACTCCCCCAAGTCCCTCCCTTGAATCGTGGGGGTGAGTGCATCCAGCTTCAACACCCCCCATTTCCGGCAGCTTTGCGGAGAGCTCACGTGTGTTCAGCATGCATAGTTCCAGCTTCCGCTGTGC